TGGCGCAGTCGGTTAAGCGTCCGACTTCAGCCAGGTCACGATCTCGTGGTCCGTGAGTTCGAGCCCCGCGTCGGGCTCTGGGCTGATGGCTCAGAGCCTGGAGCCTGTTTCCGATTCTGTGTCTCCCTCTCTCTCTGACCCTCCCCCGTTCATGCTCTGTCTCTCTCTGTCCCAAAAATAAATAAACGTTGAAAAAAAAATTAAAAAAAAATAAATAAAAGTGACGATAAAAAAAAGTGAGGATACTTTTGCATAGTTATGAGCAGTGTTTTAGGAGAGATGAATGAGGGGTCTGCTGTGTTTCAAGTATGATTAGTTCAGTATTCCAGATTTAATGTTGATATGTTAAATGATTAAATCTTAACTTGATATTTAACAAATTCTTTCAAAAATCATTTGAGCATTTTCTGTGGTTATCATTTCATTATTTTCTTTCACTGCTTTTAGGTTTTTTTTAGTTCATTATTTGAATGTGACTTAAGAGATTTTAGACGCCATGGAGTTTTTATTTTAGATATCAAAAACAGATTTTTAAAAAAATTTTTTGCAAAAGGGAGAATGTGAGCAGAGATGCAGAGAGAGAGGGATAATCTCAAGCAGGCTCTGCGCTGTCAGCACAGAGCCCCATGTGGGGCCCAAACTCATGAAACTGTGAGATCATGATCTGAGCAGAAGTCAAAAGTCTGATGCCTAACTGACTGAGCCACCCCACTGCCCCCAAAACAGATTAAAAAAAAAAAAAGATCATATTTGAATTAATATCTCCAAAATAGTTGATTTGCCACACTTTTTTTTTTCCAGTTTTTGAAAACTGTCTTTATAGATAGATGATAAATTTTGTTTTGAAATGTTCAAAGCAAATTATCCTATCAAAATTAAATGCATACTTACATTATCAATAATAACATCAATGACAACAAAAACAAGAAAGTACTTTTATATTGATGCACATGGAAGGTGAATTTTCCGAAGGTTAACCCTCGGAATAACCTGTTAAGCAAAACTGATTTTATTACTTTTTGCGGATACGGAGGACAACATTTTGTCAGTCTTAGAAGGTCCAGAAGGAGGAGATAATTGGGTGGGGGTGGGGAGATAAGTATAGGGCTGGGGATGTGGGCTTGAATGGTTAATGGTCTTTCGCTGTGAGAACCTGTTTGAAGTTTGCCATGTTTCATGATGTAATAGCTTAGGATTGGTGGACAGAGAGGCAGCAATCTTGAGGTTAGTATTAATTAAACAGGTGTTTAATGATTAAGAATTTGCTCAGTTTTAAGAGCTTATTATTCAGAGTAATTTTTATTGAGTTTCTGAAAAAATGAGTTTGTATAGTTTTTCTATGGGCAAGAACTTGGAGTAACTCAAAATTAAATCTTATGGATGTAGTCTCCTTTGGTTCTTGGTCCTGAACATTTGGAGCAAACATCGAGGCCTTACTTCTCTCAATGTCATTAGTAAATTGAGAATTGAGCTGTTATGTGAAGTGCTTTACTACCTGCTTTGTGTAGGTCTAAAATAAAAATTAAAAAAAAAAACAAACACATTTACCTGAATGATCTAAAGTCTATTTATTTATTTTGAAAGACAGAAAGCACGGGTGTACATGCATGAGAGAGTAGGGGAGGGGCAGAGAGCGAGGGGGAGAGAGAATCCCAAGCAGGCCCTGCGCTGATAGCAGTGTGGAGCCTGCTTGAACTCACAAACTGTGAGATCACGACCTGAGCTGAAATCGAGAGACAGACACTTAACCTACTGAGCCACCAGGTGCCCCCCTGAATGATTTAAAGCTAAAATATACTACTATGTTTTTCCTTTTGTTAGACACATTAAGGAAAATAGGAATAGAAATTACAGTAATAATAATCATTTAGGGAGACAGACACTAAGAATATATTTTTGGACCTCAGGATAGAGAGGCTAGATAGTGATTCTATCTTGTCACACCTTTTTATTCAAAACAAAAATGACTGAATCAAATATGTGTTCAGGACAATTGACTCTTAACTTTCAATGATCTGAAAGAAAGAAAGATAATTTAGTCAATGTGCTGTATAGACATGCATGATACTGTGTTTTAAAGAATGTTTCAAATACACCTCCCTTAAAATTTCTGTGCTAATGCACTTTATTCATTGCTCTTACTCACTCGTATCTCATCACCTAATATTAAACAAAATATGACATGGCAATTTTGAAATATAGTTCTAGAAAGTAATTTAATAATGTAATAACAGGAGTATCAAAACGGGAGATTCTACTAGTGATTATAAATCAAGCAGGATAGGATAAATAGGAGACCCAGAAGACCAAATTTTGAAAACCAGAAAAAAAAATTAATAAAGGCAGATATTAGATGCTTTTAAAATAATTCATGCAGGGGTGCCTGGGTGGCTCAGTCAGTTGAGCAACTGTCTTTGGCTCAGGTCATGATCCCATGGTTTGTGAGTTCAAGTCCTGCGTCAGGTTCTGTGCGGACAGCTCAGAGCCTGGAGCCTGCTTCAGAATCTCTCTCTCTCTCTTTCTCTCTCTCTCTCTCTCTTTCTCTCTCTCTCTCTCTCTCTCTCTCCCTCTCTGTCTCTCTCTCTGCCCCTCCCCCACTCACACTCTGTGAGTTTAAATAAACATTTAAAAAAACATTAAAAAAATTTAAATAATTCATGCCAAAATCTGTATTAAATTTTAAGCTAGAGAGTTACACTTGAATTAAAGAAAGTAGTTTTCTCCTGCTAATGCAATGTTGAGTCTAGTGGTAACATTTGCAGGTGTACAGATCTCAAGGTATTTGTAAATCTCAAATCTCTGTACATGTTTTTCAAGTCTAAGTAATTATTCAGCAAAATTTACTTTTCAAATATTAAATTTAGTATTTATCTTCTCAAACAAACTTCGCTTCCTTCTACTTTGGTTCTAAGGAGAACAAAACCTAATTTTCCTTCCTCTACTCTTGATATAATCCATCACCTGCTTAGAGTTTTCTCTAAATGTGAGAGACTCTGGGGCCATACATTACTCTAACCCTTCCACTGAAGAGGAACCACTATTCATATTACAGTTGCTCTCTGAGCTCTTCTTCCTTCTTAAGGCCAAAGACCTCATCCCTGTTTAGAATTCTGTGATGTGTTTGTCCTCTAGAAGAAGAACCACACATTGCTGGCTTTTGGTTTTATCTTCACAGTATAATAGAAAGGGGAAAATTTTTTTCTTTTGACTTATAGTGAAAATATTATGAGGATGTCTTGATAAGGCATGCTTGTCAGGTCTTCAATATCAAGAGGTGGTCCAGAATTGAGAATATCAAGAAAAATAACAGAGGTGTTAAGGTTCGACTCTTTATTCATGCAAACATTAACTGAGAGCAGAAAGAAGACTCGAATCAGCTGGCAAAGCCAAATGAATAACCCAGACCAGTGTTGCTGCTGAGTTATGATCCTAAACACAGGGTAGAAAAGAAAGGCCAGAGAGGAAAGGAATATAAATCAAAATAAATATTTATTATTTGTGTACAACTGTTGTTTGTTCTACATCACTAGAAAAGACAACAGGTAAAGTTAGTGAGAGGAGAACTCAGTTTATTTATAGCTGATGAGAGAAGTTGAGGTGATACAGGCCTTATTTTGAAGATCTGCCCATACAGCCCGCTTCAGAAAGTAACTTGAATATCTTTTTTTTTTTTTTTTTTTTTTTTTTTTTTTTTTGCCTCTTTTCCTACTTTCTTAAAAGACCATTTGTTGTTCCTGATTCAATGTTCCATTGTCCTCATTAAGCTCAAGAGGAACTACTGGCCTCCTGTGCCATCCTTAACCTTAGTAGGAGAGTCATATTGAACTCTCAGTCTTCTTAAATGAAACACAGATACAAAAAAGACAAACTTAAATTTCTGCTAGAATTGATTGCTTCTCATCATATGATTTCTGACTATAGCTTTTTATAATATTGAAATAACTAGAGAACAAGCGAGAAAACCTAGATCTGTCTGAATTTTCAGACATTTCTATATAATCTTCATAATACATGTGAAGACATTTGGGTTCTGAGAAATTGTATCTTGTATAACTTCATTCACTGTGGATAGTGGACCCAAACTCCTTCAATATTGCCTTTCTTCCAAGAATGGACAGAGGGTTAGGGAGGTGCAATACTATGCAAAAGTTAGAATTGAGCAAAATTGGACAGAAGATTATCATTAAAAAAACACTCATGTCTACTTTTATTTGGGTATTTTTTACACACACACACACACACACACACACACACGTATATGTAATATGTATATATTTAACTTCTGAGTATCCTCTCTGACAGCTTTCCCTCCTGTTGATATTTTCAGTCTGACATATTCTTAGGATGATTTAATTTCCTGACATATGTGGTTGAAGTTAACTCCTATATAAGATCAACAACTGTCCAGAAGCCATGTGGTTATTTAAAAAAACCTCATTTCCCTCAGAGATTTTGGGCTGTGGTCACACAAGCCAGATACCCTGTCAGAGACAAAATTCCCAACCTTAAGGAGAAAGATTGGATGGGAATTGAGGGGTGGTAGGACGGGAAGCATAAAGTGTGCATGAGGGTGGTCCAGTAGGAGTAGCTTAGACTTGTGTCCAGTTACGGTAAATGACAGCCTTTATTGTCAGCTTAACTGGATTATGAATCAGTAACAGCTTATCTTGGTAACTGGAGGCATTTTTTGTCCCTTCTTTCTCATCCCGGAATGGGCAGCAGATTTCCCGTATTTTAATTAATTTTTAGTTGTTAAACCAGAAACCTGAGTGGCCCTCTCACTAACCCTGTTTTCACTGCACAATAGACCATGTGCTAGCCAGGCTTCCTGATCACTGCAGAAGATTAATGTGAGCCAAATACAAAAATTTGCTCCGTTATTAAAGGCTAACAATGATTGTTCTAAGTGTGTCTGTTTGTTATGCACATTTTCTCCTCTACACTTCATTGTATTACCTAGTAAATGTGTTTGTCAATTGTTAATATCTTTGTTGTTGCAGATACAGATGTGGTGTATAAAAGCGAGAATGGACATGTCATTAAACTGAATATAGAAACAAATGCCACCACATTATTATTGGAAAACACAACTTTTGTAAGTAATGAAAAATTAATTACTTTATGCATTTCAGTGTTGTTTTGAATGCTCTCTAGGTGCACATAACTTTTTTCTTCTTCAGTTCCAGCACCTGCAAAACATTTCAGGTAAAGAGGGCTGGAATATCATTAGAATCAGTACATCTATTAATAGAAAATGCCCATGTGACCATCTGCTTCATTTCTCTCCATTTCTCTTCATATCTCCCCATTTTAGTAAATGAGAAATGTTTCTAAGAATGAAATTTCCTTACAGTGAATATTTCTTCCAATATTTTCTATGTAAAATCAGTCATATGAATATCAAGATTAAAAAAAAATCTGACACAAGTTATCACAATCTTTTTCTCCCAGTTTTCATTCTTCCTGACTTCTAATTTTGTTGTGGTTTTCTGGATCAAGCAGAAGGCAGGCTTTCTAAAACTGGCCTGCTGGAGTTGATGTGTTTTGCTTTTATGATTTAGGCTTCTATCATTTTCAGTTTGCTTCTCCAGAATCACTGGTTAGCCTGACAATGTTTAAATAATGGAATGTATTTGTTTTGCTCTTACAAAAGAATATGAATCTTGTCTTTCTTGTAAATTCAAACTTCTTAAGGCTAGATTTTGTGATGATTATCTGTTGAGTGAGTGTTAATGAATGAAATGTTGCAGATACTCAAATTTCAGTTGTCAAACACCACTGAAAAATAGTGCACAGTTATTTGCTGACAGTTTTATATAATCAAAGGTTCAGTATATTACCTATAAGATGGCTTTGTATGAAGCCATAGTCCAGAGCCTCAGAGGACCTTCTATGCAAATTAAATCAGTGAGCTAATCATGAGCTACTTTTTTTTTTCTTTTTTCTACTTGTACATCTGAAATAGACCTCAAGACTTCATGTTTATTATAGGATGGCCAGGTGAAATAGACTGGAACCTTCTCTTGTTTAGTATTTTTATATGTTAAGAAAAAAATAGTCATTGAAATCATGAAGTGCTTATATAGTTATATATCTATTAGGCTACATTAAACCAAACATCTGATGTACTTTAGTAATTAGGTCAGCAACTAACAGAATAAGGACATTTTTGTTTTTAAACTCATTGGTTAATTCAGAGATTAGAGGGACAGCTTCTGAATGCAACTGTTCATAAGGCGTATTACTCACTTTCTAAATAAATGGATTTCCTTAGGGCAGAAAATACTAACCCTAATGAAAAAGTTTAATAAACAGAATAGAGCAATGTGTATTATTTTTTAATTGCATGGTCCTCAGGAATACTAGAGAAAAGGCTGAGGAATTACCAAGAGATGTTGAAATGAATGGAAAAGAAGCCTTCCGTAGGATAGAAGGCAGAAAGCAGGAATTGGTAATGACAGAGGGTATGCTAATGATTGGCTGATTAGAGTCAGTATGAATTGATTGTCAGTAAAATTAGTTTAGGGAAAAAAAACTAAATGCATTTTGTTGTTGCTGTTGTTTTGTTGTTTTATCATAAAGTGTCATTTTTGATGTGGAGTATAGACCTTCAGTGGCCAGACATTTAAGTTAGTTATAGGCATTCAGTACATGAAGATTCAGTTATGTGACTATTCCTTACTGACCTTTGCCTTTATACAGGCTAGTGAGGTCTTCACGGTGGTCACAGATTATGTATTTTTTTCGACATTTGGTCCTTGCTTTCTTAGCTTCTATGATACATGTTTTGTTGGTACCTCACACCACCCCCACCTCATCTTGCTGTAGTTTCTCCATGTGTTGATTAATACCATTTTATCTTTGTGCATGTGTGTTTAATCTTTTTGAATCCTTTTGAGGTCTCTTCTACTCTCTTGTATGTAGGCAATGACTCTTAATTACCACAGAGTCATATTTAGCAAATATTCCAATTTACTGATCTTCTAAGATTCATGGCTCCCTAAAGACATTTATCTCACAACACAGATAATTAAGCAATTTATAAGTCCTAGAGGTGTCGAATTGACTGTGGGCGGTGGGGGGGGGGGGTTGGTGCAAGGATAAGGGATTGGAGTGTGGCATATATTTGCAACTAGTTAACTGAAAACTGTAAAAGAAAACAAAAAACAAATATACAACCATGATTCTATATTTCTTCAGAGGAATTCATTTAATCATTTCCTACCCACTCCATGATAGCATTATTAAATGTAGTTGTATTTTCAAAGCTCATGCTAGGCTAAAGTCTGGATTTACTTTCCTCAGAGGCCATTCTGTTGAAAAAAAATCTCTTACTAGAGCATAAGAATTTTATTAACACAGCAGTTTTTTCATTGAACAATTATCAATATTTTAATTAGAATCATAATTAATTGGCTATGATCACTATAAAGGCTGTGTAGTCAAAGTGCCAAGTCAATTAAGAAAATAAACACATTACTGATAGAAATGTGATAACAGAATAGCTTATTATTTGGTAGGAAATATTATTCTAAAATGTAACAGTCATTTTATTACAAAAATTAAGATAACACCACATTGTGATTTCCCTCTTAAAAATATTTTAAATATGAATAGTGTGTACTTTTTAGCTATGTAATCATGATTAGCAGACTCTGAGTAACAATAATACTGGACCTGGCTTTCAAAAATAAAACAAAAGTACATCATTTTCCTAAAATTATTGTCTTAAGGCTTCTTTTGGATTGAAGATAGGTAGATTTTTTAATGAACGAGGAAATTAAAGAGTATATAACTTTTTGAAGATGAGTTGTGCAAAATAACTGGTTTAGCCTCAAAACTGCTCTTAATCATTTTTAAGTGTTTGGAAATGTTATCTCTTAAAGCCAGACTATTTCAAACAAAAGCTCATTCACAATGAAATAATGAAGAAATGTTTCATAAGTATTAGCTGTATTCTTTCTGCTGTCAGTAAATTGAATATCACCAGTGGTCTTAGCAGAATACACCAGCAACCATAAATAGTTCTGTCAAATCACCAGTTTAAATTAGAAGGGAATTGGAAACATGGGCCTGATGTACTAATATGGAAATGGGTGATTGATGGATAAGATTCATATCTTTTTGATTCTGAAAATCTGCAAGAAGCTTCTAAAAACATACTAAAGGGAGGAACTTCATATATGGAAGCAGATGATTCCAAGGAAAATGTTAGCTACACATTTTGGGGGGTCCAACTGTCTTTTTATAGGCCATTAAAAATAGTAGGTTTGACTGGAACCAGGGAGTATTTATTGACTCATCGTGTGTGGAGAGATCTTCCATTGGCTTGCATGCCATCATAATATTTCTATTTATTTGTTTAATTTGTTTTGCCACTAGGTCTGTGGGGGTGGAGGGAATAGATCCAACTGATTTTTTACCACCATGAAATCAAGAAACTTATTTTTCAGTTCATGTTGAAGGAAATAGGTGCCCTATCAAAAAATTCTGGCACCAATAAATACTTACTGGATAGAGACACCCAAAATTTCATCTCTTAAAATTTGAAATAAAGATAAGGAGGGCACTTATTGTGATGAGCACTGGGTGTTGTATGTAAGTTATGAGTCACTAAATTCTATCCCTGAAAGTAATATTATGCTAACTGGAATTTAAATAAAAACTTGGAAAAAATTAAAATAAAGATAGGTTATTAGACAGTTCTGACTGCCTGAGTGGCTTTATATGTTGGCTCTAATCCTGGAGAATTTGTTTTTGTTTTTGTTTTTGTTTTTGTTTTAAGATCTAGCTTTAGCACTATGTGTTGGTATCCTAGTAGTGAGTAATATCAGTATTGTAACTAATATTGATGGGCCAATGAAATCACCGGAATTGCACACTTATGCAGTTGCTGTGTGCATGACAATACAGTTTCTTTCTTTCGAGCAGTGGTTCTCAGTTGGTCTAACTTTGTCATCAAGAGACATTTTGCAAGTCTGAAGACATTCTTGATTGTTATGGCTGGAGATGAGCAGTGAGTGTGCCATGGGAATCTAGTCACAGATGCCACTAAACATTCTACAATGCACAAGACAGCTCCTTCCAACGACAACAAAAATTGGCTAGTCGAGAAAATCAGTAGTGGAAATTTGCAAGATCTGGTTCTAGGCAGGAATACCAGGGAAACCATGAGATAATTAACAGGTAGTTTTTTAGTTTTTTTTTTAGTTTTTTTTTTCTTAAGATGACAACAAGGAATGGTTCTCTTTTTCTGTCAGAAAAGATTTTCAGCTGAAGCTTCCACCTTCATTTTCTTGAGACATGTTTCTTCTTTTTATGGACAGTCCTGGAAAAGAAGACCAGCAGGCATGAATATAATCATTTGGCCTTGGATTTCTCTTCTTTGGATAGGGCAGAGGACAGGCTAAAAGTATGACCCCAGATTTCATATAATTTTCTGGGGTACTTCTAATTGAGACATGTTGTTATTGTTCCAACAAGTTAGTATCACTTACTGGCTATTGTCAACTATTTGACAAAGAAGTAAGTGATTTCCTTTAAGTTAGAAGATGAAAACTCATGACTACTTGATGTTCCAGTCATCATGATTCTTTTTTTTTAATTGTTTTAATGTTTATTTTTGAGAGAGATAGAGCTTGAGTGGGGGAGGGGCAGAGAGAAGAAGACACAGAATCTAGAGCAGGCTCCAGGCTCTGAGCCATCAGCGCAGAGCCCAACGTGGGGCTCGAACTCGAGGATGAGGAGACCATGACCTGAGCTGAAGTCAGATGCTGAACCAACTGAGCCACACAGGTGCCCCAGCCAGCATAATTCTTTACATTGGCATTATATTGTTTAATATAAAATATAACAATAATAATATATGATTTAATTTAATTTTTAGTTAACATAGAGTGCAATATTGGTTTCAGGAGTAGAATTCAGTCTTCAGTTTGGGCATATCTGTCTTCTACCCAAAAGCAATAACCACTCCCTATCATTAGATACATTTATATTTCTGACATTTTTTTTATTATTCACCTTGAAAGTATGTAGTTCCTTTGTACACCCATATTCATTTTAAAAATGATCATTTGTATTTAATTAGATGAT